TAATGCAAACTCCTCAACAGAAAACTTAGTAAAAGAATCACAAAACTTGAACCATAGCTCATTTGTATTTGGATTATGAACCACATGAAACAGTAACTCGTGTATCAGCTGACACTGGTTACTGTACTTTACCAAATCTAAAAACTGACCAAAAATTGTTCATATGAATAAATCTTTCTGACTTTCAGAAAACTTTTTGTTTAATTCCTCTATAACAACAAAAGAGGATGATATATTAACCTGACCTCGAAATCTCTTGTCAGGATTAATATGATACTTTCAAGACTGTAAAAATGAAAAAAAAATGAAGAAAAACAATATGAGGATAAACCTAAAAATACACAATCAAAACACAAAAAAAAAAAAACCATATTCCATATCCTAAATTCGAAAATCTATAAACTAAGTTGAAAAAATAAATCAAAATACCTCCAAAGTGTTACGAGTGGGAGAAGGAAGAACAACTTCTTTGGAACTTTTTTTCTCCATAACAGTTTTCTTGTTCACAACCTTCGAGCGTTTACTCGGAGTAGAAACAAAAATATTGTTCTTCCTCTTGCTTTGTGTTTTCGCCATATCTTAAACAATAATATATAGAATCACAAGATCAGAGAAAGAAAAAAAAATGAAAGGAACACGAAAAAAAAAAAACTCATACCAAAAAAAAATACTGTCAGAAAATGCACACTGTCAGCGATGATAGAGAGAGTTGCAGAGCGAGGAGAAAAAAATCACAGTAGACGGACGGAGGGTAGAAAGATAGATCGCCGAAGACGAACGGAAACAAAAACCTAAAAAATCGCAGGAGGTCGCCGGTGGAAAGAAAGAAATCTTGGAAAGAAAAAACTGTCTTAGAGAGAGAAAATAGAGAGCACAAGTTATGCACAAAAACCGAGTAAAAAAATCTGGGATACGGTTTTTAAAATATAACCGAATAAAAAATCTGTAAATTATGGACCATAACCTGTCAAGTTATGGTCCATAACTTGACAAGTTATGCACAAAAACTGAGTAAAAATATATGGGATACGGTTTTTAAAATATAACAGAATAAAAAATCTGTAAATTATGGACCATAACCTGTCAAGTTATGGTCCATAACTTGACAAGTTATGCACAAAAACTGAGTAAAAAAATCTGGGATACGATTTTTAAAATATAACCGAATAAAATCTGTAAATTATGGACCATAACCTGTCAAGTAATGCTCCATAACAGCACAAGTTATGGTCCATAACTTGACAAGTTATGCACAAAAACTGAGTAAAAAAATCTGGGATACGATTTTTAAAATATAACCGAATAAAATCTGTAAATTATGGACCATAACCTGTCAAGTAATGCTCCATAACAGCACAAGTTATGGTCCATAACTTGACAAGTTATGCACAAAAATCGAGTAAAAAAATTGAAGTTATGGTACATAACAACTGAAGTTATGGTCCATAACTTGACAAGTTATGGACAAAAACTTATCAAATTAGACCATAATCCATAAATCACAGTTTTTTTTAACTATTAAATGCAAGGATTTCTTTTATTATTAGAAAAATTTGAATATTTTTCCTTCAAATCATTCAATTCCAACTTAGAACATAATGATAAAAAATCAACTTAGATCATGATGATCAGTTCATATAAACAAATGTGGGGTTTGAACAAGTCCTCCTATTGTGGCCAACTTGCTTGCATCGACTACACTTCACATATTGCTTCTCTCGTTCTCCACTAGAAAGAATTCTTTGCTTCCTTGGCCTCCCAGCACCACGTTTAAACTCAGGAGGAAGAACAACCTCCAACTCACTGCCCTACGAAATTTGCCACTTTGATCTATTAGTAATGGGATAGATTACAACATCATATGTTGCTTTGAATGCATTGTTGGTGTAATAGTAGGAAGTAAAATGTGCTGGATCAAGATTTCTTTTCCAAATCGATGCAATAGCGTGTGGACATGGAAATTCATCAACTTGCCAAACAAGACAACTACATGTTTTTGCCACCAAGTCAACCATCTCACCAACTAAACCATCAACAACATAATACTTATTGATATCCATGGGTTGAACCTGAAAACATGACAAAAAGAAAAGAAAACAGAGCATTCAAAAAACAATAGAATAACTTCAAAAAAAAAAGACCAAAAGAATCACAAAAAATATCACATCAAAAACATAATCAAAAAAATGAAACAACAAAAAAAAAGGAAAACACAAAAAAAAAAAGTAAATACTTGAACGAAAAGCAACTTACAGATAAGCAACGTGCAATCTTTTTCCTATCACGAAGGTATTTAGTTGCATGTTTACTAAAGTATATAAAAGTTTGATCCGCCTTATTTCGACGCTCATAAAACCATCTTTGCAAGAGGGATCTGAAATGCTCAATTAAAGCTTCAATAGAATACTCCCTAGCATTCACTAAGACATTATTCAACGACTCGGAGATATTAGTCGTCATGACATCATATCTCTTCCTCTCAAAGTAAGCACGTGCCCACTTTTCAACCCCTACTTGCATCAAATAATTTTGAATAGCTGGTCGAACTGCCTCCAATTGACGCATGAAGTAACCAAAATCTTCCTTACGGTATGTCTTGGCACAACGATAGAATATAGCATCCACATGCACACTTTTAAAATTTGAATTCAAATTTCTAAGTAAATGCTGCATACAAAATTCATGAGATGCATCCGAAAATACCTTCTCAACTGCTTTAGGGATACTACTCTTTCGGTCAGAAATAATAACAAGCTCTTCACGAGTTCTGATGGCCTCCTTAAGCCTTTCAAAAAACCATTCCCACGAGGAGTCATTCTCCGAATCAACAATTGCAAAACCAAGCGGAAAAATATGATTATCAGCATCTAAAACTGCAGAGAGAAGCAAGGTCCCAGAAAACTCATTCTTCAAAGAAGTGTCATCAACTAAGATCACAGGCCTACAATGGCGCCAACCATGAATAGAAGCCCCCAAGCACAAAAAAAAAATACTTGAACCGCCCATCATTGTCAAGCTTATAAGAAGTCACAGATCCTACAAAGAAAAAACAAAAACAAAAACATTTAAAATAACTATTAGTCACAGATCCTACCGGACAAGTTATGCAAAAAAAAAAAAAAGCAAAGAAAAGGAATGGATGCATACGACTCCACTGCACAAAACCATAAGCATAACCTGGATTTTTCAGATAACATAAGTTATCTGATAACATAACCATAAGCAAAAAAAACCTGTCAACTTATCTGATAACATAAGTTATGGAATATAACCTGACAAATTATACCATAACCTGGATTTTTCTCCTTCAAAACATTAAGATAAACAAAACCATAAGCATAACACATAAAAATAAAAATCACCTGGATTTTTCTCCTTGAAAACATTGCACATAAAAGGAATGGATGCATATGACTCCACTGCACTTCCTCTCATTGATGCTAACGCATATCGGTGAGCCATTCGCGCTTTGTAGTAACTAATCTCAACACCATGCTTACCATGCATTATGGACCTCAAATCATTAGGATACAAACGCTCTGCAAGCCCAATGCTAAAATCGCCCTTTAAAAACTCCGAAACAACACGACTATTTGCTTGGCGATGCTCAGCACTAGCAACATCAAGTGAACAAGTATGTTCCTTAATATACTTCTTCACTTCCCAAACATTACCATTTGAAACCTTAGCAGCACGCATCTTCCAAGTACAACTCTCATTTTTACAAACCAAAACATAAAATGAATTATTAGATCTTTCAGATTTAAATTCAAAATGCCTCCTAATAGCAATTACATGCATGAATTTCTTGAGAACCGACTTGCTCATGAATTGATTGCCTACATTCACATCAAACGACATAGGTAACTTTGAAATATCCAAATCTTCAATCAAAAAATTATTCATCGCAACATCAATATCATCTTCAAATTGACAAACGGAACCATCAGCATTAAAAGATGACGCCTCATCTCTTGAACTAATAAAACAAGATGAAGAAGAAATAGATCCCACTGCACTAACGGAGCTACTAACAAAATCTATTACCAACGGGTATCTAAGAGCTTCCTTACTGTGTCGAACCAAGTTTAAAAACAACTTAACATCATCATCCCTCTTAAGGTCTGAAACAATTTCAATTGGGTCCTTCAACTTCCTTCCCACAAAAAGTAATAAAGAATGAACACCAACATTAAAACCAAACAACTCAAGATTCAGCTCCTCACATAAACACTCTTGTAAAAACTTCAAAGAAGCATCCTCAGGAATAAAAACTGATTGAAAACCAAAATTTGTATATTGGTTTTCTAGACTCCATTTTCCCCTATAAGCAACAATGACTGAAACAGATTGCATGCCTATAAACATATTACAGGAACACTGTCACGTTAAAGTGCATAACCGGACAAGTTATATAAAAAAACCTCTCAATTATGGACCATACCTCGTCAAGTTATGTTGATAACCGGACAAGTTATAACAAAAACTGTCATGACTAAAACAAATTGAAAACAAACCGAAAAAATGCAAAACGTGAAAATGAAATTACAACAAAAAAAAGAAAAAACTAGAAACGAAGAATGCCCAAACATGTTGTTCCGTAAAAATCGACCGGAAAACAACAAAAAACAAAGGATTAACGAACAAAAAAAGAAAGCAAACTGAAATAATGCAAAATATGAAAATGAAAATACAACAAAAATAAAACTAGAAACCTGGTAAATCACTTGAACAGCTGCTCAAATCCAAATGAGAACAAGAACTACCGACCGACGAACCTGTTGATCCACCGACGATTCACCGACGAGCAAATGGAAAACCGATGATCCACCGACGATCCACTGATGAGAGAGAAAATCCGAGCGTAGTTATGAGAGAGAGAGAGCTGCGAGAAGCTAGAGAGAAAGAGAGATCTGCGACAGAGAGAGAGAGAGAAAGACAGAGACGATCGAAAGAAACAAAGGAAAAAAAGGGTAAATTTAAAAATTTAAAAATTATGGCCTATTAATTTTTATAACTAAAAATTGGCCTATATGCTTCCTTAAGATTTTTAAATTGGCCTATTCTCTACTATTTCCCTAAAAAATTTAATAAAAATTGAATGAGATTAGGTCGGGACTCAGCCAAAGAACTAGGCTTCAAATGGCTCAAACGGCCCAAATTGATAGCTCTAGTGGTAATATAGTGTCATTACACTTATCTAGGAGTGACTTGCTTTTTTTCCCGCTCAACAATTATGATTTTGTCTGCACTTAATAACAATTTTTATAAAAGGAAAAATTTTAATATGTGTATGTAGTTATTTTGTAGATGTACCTAGGGGTGGCAATTCGTGTCACGCGTCGTGTTTTGATCGTTTCTTTTTAAATTTGTAGTCAACCCGAACACGACCCGTGACACAAAATTTTTTAAAAACCGTAACACGAACACGACACGACCACTTTACGAGTTGACACGACCCGAAAATGACCCGTGACACGAAATTGACCCGTGAACCCGAAATTGACACAAAAATTGTGTACTTTTATTTAGTTTTTTATATATTAAAAATAACTTAAAATTCATAACACACTAAATTACAATAACATCCATTGAAATTAAGTAAATAATAGTATAAGATTTTGAGTATAACATCATGATATCACAAGTTCATAATAAAATTTAAAATATGAAATGAAAAATATATGTATTTTTTAGTTTTTTACGAGTTTCGTGTCGTGTTCGGGTTAGGCGGGTCCAACCCGAAATTGACCCGTGTTTTTCATGTCAATTTCAGGTCGACCCAATTCTGACCCGAACCCCTTTTTTCTCAACCCTAACCCGCAAAATTCGTGTCGTTTTTGAGTCGTGTCGTCGTGTCGTGACCTATATTGTCGGCCCTAGATGTACCCAAATGAGTCATCATATGTGCAAAAGATATTTCTTTTCTTTTTTACTTTTTTGATAAATAATAAAAGATGTCACCCTAATGACACCAAAGAGTGAGTACTTACATGTGAGTTAGATTGTATCGTATGAACATGATTATGTGCAAGCCTTTATCAAGTGTCACCATTAATACAACTTTCATTACAATACACGATCAATCATTTTCACTTTCTTGATGCTTTATTTCCTCATTTCATTATCATTGAAGCATACTCGTTCTTTATTTTGCATAGTAGTGAAGGAAAAGTGCCACGCGCTTATTCCGTTTTCTTTTTAAGGGACAATTAGTAGGGCATTGAGGGGGTGAAAGTAATAGGGGGAGGTGGGAGAATCTGTTTTAGAAAAGAAAATTATTGGTGGGATGTTGGATATAAAAAAAAAAAGAAAAAAAAAAGATTGAATTATAGGCCTTTAAAGAAAAAAGTCACTATAGTGAAGTCCCTTTTATCAAGTACTTCTCAAAGTGAAGTGGAGAGGGCGGGGAACATTTTGAAAACTTGGGGCAAAAGGCAAAAAACAATTAAACATTTATTGCAAACTCAGTGGCTGGCTGCCACTTTCTGATAGAACTACTTCACTTCACATAAGCACTTTTAGTTTGAATTGTCTTTTTTTTTTCCTTTTTTTGTTTAAATACCAAGTTAAAGTTGTAGTTTGTTCTTTTTGAAGGAATGTTCATACCATGGAGTGGCACTTTTGCAAAATATAATGGATTAAGCACAAAAGAAAAGGGTTAAATTATAAGTTATGCATTGCTCTTTCTGAAAGGCTTCTTCTTATTTTAAAAGAAGAATATTTTTATGGTTACTTAAGTGGGTTATAAATGGAAATATGAATAAAATAAGGGGATTGTTTTTAGAAAATTTCTCTTTTCATCCTATATGGAAAACAGGCACCTCTTAATTTTTAAGATAAAAGTATCCTTATTTTCAGTCAGTAATTTGAAATTGTATGTTAAATTTGTCATGTAATAATATTTCCTATGAAATGTGTACATCCACAATAAGGACAATTTTATCTTTTTCAAAAAATTGAGAGAGTCTTCCTTTTTCCATAAAAGCATTTATCTTTAAAAAAAAAACCCCCAAAATATTTCAAGCATAGAAGATTTGACATTTAATAAACTTTCTGTTCTTTTGTAGAGTCCTCAATTCTATAGCAGTTAGTGATTCTTCTCTGCTTATAACCGCTTATAACTACAGAAACCTGCATAGCCATTTTCCTTCTGAAGAAAAGACAAAAGACATTCCCTTCATATACCCCCAGCTAAAGCTACCTTTTTCTCTCAGATTTCCTGTTTTTGATTGGTGGAAAAAAAAAAAAAAAAAAAAAGAAGAATAAGACAAATCTTAGGTTTGGCTATAGAAAAATAGCCAAAATGGCACTTATTTACAGTTGATTACCTCTTTCTAGGACGATCCCATGCTTCAGATATGCTTAAAAATGAAAAGTTGTGATCAACATTCAATTAAATACTTCCAAATATAAAAGTAAGTGCCAAAGGAAGTGATTCTTTGACAAGTTACAGCAACTCTAGAATAGAATTCTTGTAGCTATCCAAAAAAAAAAAAAAAAAAAAAGAGCAAGTCTTAAAAAAGAAAGAAAGAAAGAAAGAAAGAACCAAAGCCAAAATATAAAGAATGTGGAAAAGAGTTTAACTTATTGATAATTGGCCAATCAACACTTGGAAAGTGAACTTTATCCTTAGCTTTAAATCTTAGTAGTATATTTTAATATGAAATAATCTTGGATAATTTTGACAAATATAGTGACTGAAGATGGCAATATTGATTCTTGGAAGTTAAAAATAAAATAAAATAAAATTAATTGTTATGCCCAAGTACCTTTCTCTTTGTCCTGCCTTTACCTTGTATGCAAATAACATTAAGAATCTTAAAGCCCCACCAAAAAGATACATTACATTAGTGTGCTGCAATAACCAAAAAAGATGAAATCAAACAAATAAAAGAGCGATGTTTAGTCCCGGATTCACGCTATTGCATATTTATGAGAAGTTATAGATAAAAGTGGTGCTATTTATATCATTGGCAATCATCACTACACGGTTCTAATTTCTAAACAAGCACGAATTCACATCTCCATCATAAAACTAAAAATTATGACGCGTGAACCTATAGGACATTTCATGTCAATTTCATGTCAATCTTAGTTAAAACCTAGTGGTAATGATGACACAAGTGATATTTTGTAGTTTTTTTTTTTTTTTTGTGTATAAGGAGAGACGTGTTTTTTATCACTACCGATAATTATTACTGTACCTTTTTAAATAATCATAAATTCACATGTCAACATGAGACTACAAATTACGACACATAAACTCATACAATCTTTCATGTCAATCTCTAACTAATTATGACAACTCGTACAGTCTTCTATATCAATCTCTAACTAATTATGGTGACGCCGCCATTAGTGATATTCGAAACTACTTCCAAATGCACAGAGAAAAGTGAAACACATTATAGTTTAACAATTACATTATGGACCAATGGACATATACAGCTCCAAGGCAAGAAGCTAATTTATTCACAAAACATAAAGACAACTACAAGACCAACCCCAGATGCAATCTATAAAAGTGATTTTCCACCTGGGAAGAGACTCAAAGACAGAAGAAACAAGAAACAAAAGGAGACAATACATGTTGGCAAAACCAACTTCAAAGGAAGCACAAAAATACAACATTGCTCAAGGAAAAGAAAAACAACCCCACTTCTGCTTAATACATATGAAAAGTTATTGAACTCCTTTTTATTTTTCTATTACCAAGAACCAACTTTAAAAGGCGTTGTCTCGGGCCCTTCCTAGATGACACAGTACATGATCTCCTCAGTTGGTCAATGTTACCATGGCTAGACTCTTATATCACAATGTGATATTGTCTTCATGCAACCACAGACCACTGAGTTCCCCAAAACTATAATCTCTTTCACTAGGTTGCCTGCAAATTGGAGCTCGGTCCAAACTTTCACAACCCGAATCGAGAAAAGAACTCAGAATGGTTTCAGACAGCTCAGTGAGCTTGTCTGGTCATAACCCTCATATTGCATATCCTCATTTGCGAAAACATCCATGTAATTTGAGTGTCCCGGGTAGGGCGACATGCCACCAATTCTGTTGGGATTGTCAGAAAGTTCAATTTCCCCAGTGAAGTTTGAGTATGATGAACTAGGTGAAATTTCTCTGTGTTCATATGACGGCCAAGGTGTCACTGAGCCAGGAAACTCATACTGTGGAAAGTAATCAGGAATTGCCGCTTGCAATTGTGGATAATCCTGCAATAAGCTTAAGCAATCAGACAATTGACTCGCATTGAAATGTCTTGTTTCATTACTGACAATTAGTACCTTCGATGAATCAAGAATTAAGTCTGGTGAGACCCAGAAGCTTGCGGGATTGGTCTCCGCGAATGAGGGCTCAAACTCTGATGCAGGGGTGACTTCATTTGGAGAAGTGATTGGGCTCGAAAAACGACTCTCGTTGTACTGGTAGCTTGCGTGAGAAGAAATGTCACCGGAGACACTCAAGGGTTCATTCACGAGTGTTGAGTTGAAATCCGCATTACTCGAACTGCTTCCAATCTTCTTGCTCTTTGGCTCTCCATGGCAATCACTGACCTTTTGTGTGCTCTCATTCTTCCTCACAACACGGCACAAAGCAAAAGCACCCTGCGGATATTGTTACAAAGAAAAATGTGTAATTAGTCTTTGAGCTTCCTAGAATTTATGTACATGAAGAAACTCATCTTAGTGAGATTCAAGAATTTACATGAAAATTCGGTGAGCCTTGACTAAGACCATCAGAGAGGCGGTACTCATGCATGATCCAATCAGTTCGATTACCTAATGGAGCGCGTCCGCAATAGAAGACAAGGGTCTTTCGGTAAGCAATTACATTCACTGATTTACAAACAACTTTTCGGTCTTTCCCAGTGGCCTTCCAGTAGCCAGCCTTAGTGGCTCTATTTGTTCTTGAGCCATTCGGATACTTTCTATCCCGAGGACAGAAGAAAAACCATTCCATGTCTCGTTTCGGAAGGAAGGATTTCTCTGCAGGTATAGCTTTACACATCAGATTTGTAACCTTTTTTTTTTCCAATAATGAGGATTTTGAAGAGCAGTTGAGGACAAAATTACTCACTGTTCTTATACTTTATTTTGCTTGAAATGTTGCGCAGGAATAAAAGAAAGCAGACTAAATTAGCTTTGGAAAGATTAAGATAAAAAGTAACATGCTCCATAAGACAAAAGGACACTTAAAACAGATTTTGTCTATAAAGAACAAGAAAAGATTAGATAAACCAAAAAAAAAAAAAGGTACTTAAAGGCATTTATGCTGTTCATATTGATAAAAGATGTCCACTTATTCACAAATGCCCAAAAAGAAAAAAGAATCATATTCCTCTTACCATTCAAGATACATCCATAGACACAATGTGATAAATTGTCATTGACAAAGATCCAAATAGAGAATAAAAGATGAGTCTTAGTACTATATGCCACTTTAACATATATGACTTTATGTGATTGCCCCGGCATGCAATTTCACTTTAATGTATGCAAGTTTCTTTACTATAATAAATAGTACTAATGTATTTCATTTAGCTTACACAAACACACAAATTATAAAGTTCTACTATCTGGACTATTTATGTCAAAGAGATCGTTTGAGCGAGTACCAGGCAATTCCCAGGGATCAAACTTGTACAAATCGATCACGGGGATAACTTCGAGCTCGATTTCGAGCCCCTCCACTTTTCTTTTCAGGTAATACCCCACCAGTTCCTCATCAGTCGGGTGGAAACGAAAACCGGGTGGCAGTGATGCCCCTCCCATGATTATCACTCACTAACTATCAGATTCTTAGTGAAAAAATAACCAAAAAAATTAAAAGGAAAAAGAAAGTGAACAGAAAGCAAGCAAGCTTGGAAACAGAAAATTGGTTTTGCTAAGTGCCAATAGTGTATCTATTAAAAATCTGGAAAATCCAAAAGTAGAAGCTTTTACAAACAGTTGATTTCTTATCAAGAGTTGAGTAAAACTTCCACAGGATGTACCTGTAGTACAGCAGAATCATTGTCTTTTAAACAAATGCAATTGCTTATAGTGAAAAATTATTACCCCCCACCAACCAATATTATAACCCAAAAAAAAGATAATAAGTTAACAAAAATTTAGAACTATTTAAGCAATACCCAGAAACAGATATTTCTTTAAGTCCAAGCCCCCAATCCAAAAAAAAAAAAAAAAGTACAAGGCCCTTCTAGAAACTACTTAGAACTTCTAAAACTCAAACCTATTGAAATACCCAGAAGCCAAAAACATTTAAATTTGAAAAGTGGTAACTTAAAGAGAGATTTGTAAAGAAAAAGAGCCAAGAAAGGAAAGAAAAGAAAAAAAAAATGAAGAAGAGAAGAGTAGAGTAGAAATGGTGGCAAATGGGAGAGGGTCATTTATAGGATTTGAAGGGGAACAAAGAGTCCAAAAACACATACACCACACCGAAAGTTGTATTGAGATTGCTTGTCAGACGCACACCCCAAAATTCCAATTCAGAGTGGCCCACAACCTCATTCATTAACTTGAATTCAGTTCACACTTATAGCATAGTTTAAACTTTCATTTGTCTCATACTTATAATAATAATATAAATAAGTGTTGATTCCATTTTCAGCTCCCGAACTATGTTTTTCGTCTTAATTTGGCTCCTACACTTTAAAATGTGAAAAAATTGCATCCTAAATTATGTTCTTCTCGTATTTGGAATAGTTACAAAATATCATTAGAACTCAACGAAACCAACCATGTGAACCTTAGATCGCTTGTTAGTGAACTTAATTTAGGCAAATCATGCTTTTAAGATGAATTTAAATAAATTTAATATTTGCATAATTGTTAGTCAACGAGCTCGTGTAGAGAGAAACTATAATTATTTTCATTATTTTCTTTTTTTTAATTTTTAAAATTATTTAGTTGTGGTTTGTTCACTAACTAAGCATGCGGTTAATTTTGTTAAGTTTTTAAGAGTTTTGTGAGTAAAAGAAGCAAACCTGAGACGAGATGGATAATTCAAGGTGCAATTTGTAACATTCTAAAAGTTTGGGTTCAAAAAAATTAATCCAATAAATAAATTAAAGAAAACAAGTTAACCTTCCCGCCAAGTTATCTTTTTGTGTGACCGTTGCTCTGACTGTTTGGGTCTCTCTCTCTCCGGTTCTTTTCATAAGCGGCTTAACTTTGATTTTGATTGATTCGTTTTTAGGAAATTTATGCTTCATTCATTTCGCGAACTAAACGAGCTCTTAGTCTAAGCATGAATATGAACATGCTACGTGCACAAACGAGTTTGCAATTTTTTTTTATAATAATTTTCGTTCTTTGATTATCTAATGCCTCGGTAATTATCTGAATGTTTTTAAGCATTCTAGAGTCGAGCCCATACTATTCTAATAGCTTTTTTTATTAAATAAAAAATGGACTTTTAACGTTTAGGTACTATTGACAATCAATAGAGGATCTAACATATATTTATTATTCAATATGGGGACCATGCTTAGATTTCCACAGGATTTATGTTAATTAAATTATCAAAATCTATAAATACCATTAATTATAACGATTTTTTATTTTGAATTTTCTAGTAGAATAGGAAAAGAAGTTCTATTAATAAAACACAATTCTAATCAATAACAAAAGTAATGACAATTTTAAACTTTAATTTTCAATAAATTTCCATTTTTCCATTTTTTTTTTTTGGGTCCTAAGTCCTTGGTCAAATTAGGATCATCATTTGAAATTGAACGTACTGTATAGATCCCACTGCAGAGTGGTCAAAGCAGCACTAATTGGGGGAGTTTAGGGGTTCTCCTTTGGTCATGTCCTTTTTATTCTTAGCTGTTTGTTTCCACGTCATCCTGAGTAGGACAAAACACTTTTGCCCTTTTATTTTATTCAGGAGATGGCGTCATCTTTCCTGGTCCCACTGTTCAAGAAAGAGGGTTCCAAAAGTGCTTCTTGCCGAGTTTTTCTTTTTGCGACTTTATGGAGTGGCCCAAACACGCCTTGGAGGAGAGCTTAAACTCTTACGTTGGAAATCATGTATAAAGTTTGGGTTTTTATTTGGTGTCGATTGCCGAAGATATAGGAGCCGTTCGATCTAATCGGCAGTCTCATGTTAGCGTTTAATTCGGTCATTTACTACTGCGGATCATTTTGTAGACGTCTAGTTTATAGATTACTCGGTTTACGTGTATTTTTTTATAAAAAAAATACCGTAACGAATTACGAATCATGATTCAAATTATGGTATAAATTTACCAACTAAATGCACGTTTAATGGGATGATAAGTCTTTAGCTCTGTGGATTTTGAGCTTGAGTCACTCCAATTACAGTGAATAGCAATCTAGAATGTATAGATAATTTATTTTGTAATGAATTTATATACACAGTGCGAAGTTGAGTCTCCCTTAAATTATTTAAAATTTAAGAGCCATTGGATTTAATTAGCGGTTTCATGTTAGGTTTAATCTAATCATTTATACCTCTAGATCATTTAATATATAAATATTAATCAAGAATATGTAGACGATTTGTTTTATAAGAGATCTATATATGTCGCGCGAATGCAATGTCTTCCCGAGATTATCTAGTATGCCATCGTGTTCCTCTACCCTTATTTGGCAACCAAAAAAAAAAAAAAAAAAAAAAAAAAAAAAAAAAAAAAAAAAAATTGATGACATTTTCTGACCCATTTAATAGTGGCTCTATGGTACTGTGTTACTACAGAAAGCCTCTGGAAAGTATACTTCGTCATCACTCATTAGGTTGGACCAAAAGATAATAATTTTTGCATACAGACTCCATACCTGGTTGAAGGAACTATTTGGTTTTACATTAGAAAAAGGAGAAAAAGTTGGAAATAAAGTTTTGCTTTAGGACTTGGGGGGCAATGTTTGGTTCTTGTGACATGTATTACATGAAATAGACTTCCACAAATAGTTTGTGGGTTGCTAGTAAATTTCAGTAAAGAAACTATTGGTAATCAGTGAGACTACTTTTTTACATTAAGATTAGGTCCTAAAGGCCACAGAGATAAAATAAATGCCTTTAAGCATGAGCTTTGATTGTTGAGTTTTTTTTACCTGCTCTTCACAAGTTCTAAGCCTATTGGTTGAATTTTTAATTGTGGACTACTACTAAAACCGTTTGGTACCTAGATTCGTTCCCTGATTCGAATTATGGCTCGTGGTTCGCTACAGTATTTTCTCTCACAAAAAATACACGTAAATCAAAAATGATTCTAATAACATGATTTGAATCCATGAACCAAACGCCACAGTACTTGATTGGAACCCATGCCTTTCAAACTGGAAGGGTAAAAGAAAGAGAAAGTGTTTAAAAAAAAACTTTAAATCATCTTCTCCTTGAAGAGATACAAGTTCTGTTCATTTTATCGATTCGAATTTTGCTATAGTAAAAAACTCTCAGAAACAGTCATATCTAAGTTTTTTGCTATAGTAAAAAGTTCTCACATATTTCATTCTTTCAATTTAAAGATAAGAAATGGCAAAAATAATTATACCTAATAGGTAGACGAACAGGCATTTATCATTGTCATGTTTACCTAAACATACATTAGTCTATTAACTACTCTGGACAATGCACTAGCTTGTTATTCTAAGGATATATGAATTCTCATCTTCACCAAAAATAAACAAACAAAGAAACCCCAAGAAGTACTAAAAAGTGAATATATATATATATATATATATATATATATATGGTTTCTTTTAGGAGCAGAAATTGGAGAGTTTTTTTTTTTTTTTTTTTGTGAAGCTCAAAGCGAAGATTTTGTTATACTGCTCAGCACATTAACAAAATTTTATCAAACCAGTAAGAATTATTATTCTTAACTATTAGATTAATTTTTTAGCGGTCTAATGTGTAAGTATCCATATTAAAAATTTACATTGCACGACACAAATTACTCATACTCATCGATTAAACCGTTGAAAAACTAATCCAACAACTAAACTAGCAATTCATACTTAATAAAATAGTAGTTTCTACCATAAAAGTTCCTTGCAACAAAAGGGCAGTTAAACAAAAGGGCAATTAAAGAAGAATTGGTTTCCAATTTACAAGAACAATATGTGTCCAAATTGGATCATAAAACTGAAGACCATTCATGGACAGAAATGATTTCAAGGCCAAAAAAATTCAATGCATGGTTATATTAATTAGTGAGGTGGTTCATCATACAATGTTTTTGAGAAAATTAATCAAAGTGTGAAAAGAAGTCAAATGGGAAAAGATTTGTAATGGGTGTAACTGTGAATGAAGATACAAAATGGAAGAAAATAAAGATCAAGTAAGAAAGCTTTTTTTTTTTCTTTTATGGGGAATTGGAAAAATGGGAAGACCACCTTATCCTTTGTCATAGTTTTGTCTACCTCTTTCGGCTCCCTTTTTGTCTCTTGGTGCCATTTTCACAATCGACCGTTCACCAGCACTTGTGTAACACAACTAGCCAAAGGTCAACAATATTGCTAGCTAGTGCTTGCTCATAATTGAGCAAATTGGTTTGGAGTTTTGGACTCATTTATAAAAGTTTAAATGTTAGAGCAATGTTAAATGATTTTGTGTTTGAATTTTGATTGCGTTTTGTTTTGTTGTGTTTATCTTTAGATTTCCCTCGTAAAATATGAATCAACCGATCATTAGTGGTCCAAAATCTTAAAGTTGTTAACTTTAGGGTTTTCATTTGACAATAATTACTCAAAATTTTTAATCTCGATAATAATAAACATGCTTAATTAATTCTATTAAACCACTCCATATTGGAATTCTAGGGCCACTAATGTATAAGGTAGAGGAGTTTATGGCAATATTCAGCACGTTTTCGAGTTTAAGGATATGATTAAAGGTCCTTTATTAGACGGCATTTTTGAATGGCGGTTCACAGTAAAATCGTGTCAAAACAAAAAAAATTATATATAATATATTATGAGAACCTAATAAAATTCCGATGGTCCAAAATAACATAATTTCAATAGGATATTCTCTATATTCTGCCAAAGAACACTATTGTGCTACAAGCTTTGTTTTGGTTCTTTGAAGCTTATGACCTCAATAGATTCTCCACGAGGTAGAGAGACATGACAAGTTGCTTTCCAATATCAATGGACAGTGTAAAATATTGTGGAAGATATTAGTGATGCTAAAAAAAAGTGAAAGCTCTAATTCATTTGGCTCCATCCACAGATTGAGAGGGTGAATGAAAGGTGCTTTAAATCATTTGGCATTATATGTCTCAATAACCAAGCTAAAGACTTGCAATTGTTTG